CCAAATACAGCTAACTATTATTATTTGTTATTTCAGAGCCATTGTCATTAAATATAAAACATGAAAGATGTAGAGAATCCAGTTTCACCCGACAACAGGGACCAGTACATTCCACTGATTTAACACAACTGTAAAAGTCATTCTGGGGGAGTTTAGGACCCAGCAGGACCCTGACCCTCGCTCGTAGGGGCCAGCTGTCGGAGCCATTACATTATATATCATGCTTTCTGTTTACCATAAAACTCAAACTCAAAGACCAGGAAAGTCCAAAGGTTTAAGTCAAAGGGACACATAAAACCAGAGGCCGATGACCCAGGGAGTAAAACTGTCGGACTGGATCCAGGCTGTTCTGGGATTTAAAATGAGGTATAACATCGAGTCTATACAGCATATGTTGACTCTGATGGAGCTGAAGTTGGCTGATTGACAAGTGTTTACAATCTCAGGAGGCCAGTCCCTGTGCTCCTCAGAGTCCCAGCATGAGGCCTGTCCCTGTGCTCCTCAGAGTCCCAGCAGGAGGCCAGTCCCTGTGCTCCTCAGAGTCCCAGCAGGAGGCCAGTCCCTGTGCTCCTCAGAGTCCCAGCAGGAGGCCAGTCCCTGTGCTCCTCAGAGTCCCAGCAGGAGGCCTGTCCCTGTGCTCCTCAGAGTCCCAGCAGGAGGCCAGTCCCTGTGCTCCTCAGAGTCCCAGCAGGAGGCCAGTCCCTGTGCTCCTCAGAGTCCCAGCAGGAGGCCTGTCCCTGTGCTCCTCAGAGTCCCAGCAGGAGGCCAGTCCCTGTGCTCCTCAGAGTCCCAGCAGGAGGCCAGTCCCTGTGCTCCTCAGAGTCCCAGCAGGAGGCCAGTCCCTGTGCTCCTCAGAGTCCCAGCAGGAGGCCAGTCCCTGTGCTCCTCAGAGTCCCAGCAGGAGGCCAGTATATACAAAGATGAAGAAATCCCACATTTGTCCAGAGTGGGGAAATGTCAGTGTTGCGTCACCAGTTACAGTGAGAAGGAGGAGATAACAATAATAATAACTGTCAAATATTAAATCAAATCTCTAACTTCAGCATAATAAAGATGAGGGTTTGGTAATAAATCTTTCCAACCTGGTGTAGCGAGTATTGGTGGAGCTTAAGTTGGCTGGATGACACTGTGAACGTGGGATTATAATCTCTGCGGCTACTTTAAGTTATAGAACCATAAAACATGAGACAAAGGGTTTGGACATTCCTGGTCAGAGCCTCACACCAAAAGGAGACATGGAGCATATAAAAACACAGAAACACAAGTTTATGACAGATGTCGAAGTGACAAGAAGCTAAAAACAAGTGACTCCTCCTGACTCCTCCTCCTGACTCCCCCTGACTCCCCCTGACTCCTCCTGACTCCTCCTGACTCCTCCTGACTCCCCCTGACTCCTCCTGACTCCCCCTGACTCCTCCTGACTCCTCCTCCTGACTCCCCCTGACTCCTCCTGACTCCTCCTGACTCCTCCTGATTCCCCCTGACTCCTCCTGATTCCCCCTGACTCCTCCTGACTCCTCCTGACTCCTCCTGACTCCTCCTGACTCCTCCTGACTCCTCCTGACTCCTCCTGACTCCCCCTGACTCCTCCTGACTCCTCCTGACTCCTCCTGACTCCTCCTGACTCCTCCTGACTCCTCCTGACTCCTCCTGACTCCTCCTGATTCCCCCTGACTCCTCCTGACTCCTCCTGACTCCCCCTGACTCCTCCTGACTCCTCCTGACTCCTCCTGATTCCCCCTGACTCCTCCTGACTCCTCCTGACTCCCCCTGACTCCCTGACCCTGACTCCTCCTGACTCCTCCTGACTCCTCCTGACTCCTCCTCCTGACTCCTCCTGACTCCTCCTGACTCCTCCTGACTCCTATTGACTCCTATTGACTCCTATTGACTCCTATTGACTCCTATTGACTCCTCCTGACTCCTATTGACTCCTCCTGACTCCCTCCTGACTCCTCCTGACCTCCTCCTGACTCCTCTTGACTCCTATTGACTCCTATTGACTCCTCTTGACTCCTATTGACTCCTCCTGATTGACTCCTCCTGACTCCTCCTGACTCCTCCTGACTCCCCCTGACTCCCCCTGACTCCTCCTGACTCCTCCTGACTCCCCCTGACTCCTCCTGACTCCTCCTACCTGACTCCTACCTCTGACTCCTGACTCCTGACTCCTTTGACTCCTATTGACTCCTATTGACTCCTATTGACTCCTATTGACTCCTATTGACTCCCCTGACTCCCCTGACACCTCCTGACTCCTCCTTTTGACTCCTCCTGACTCCTATTGACTCCTATTGACTCCTCTTGACTCCTATTGACTCCTATTGACTCCTCCTGACTCCTCCTGACTCCTCCTGACTCCTCCTGACTCCCCCTGACTCCCCCTGACTCCTCCTGACTACTCCTGACTCCCCCTGACTCCTCCTGACTCCTCCTGACTCCCCCTGACTCCCCCTGACTCCTCCCGACTCCCCCTGACTCCCCCTGACTCCTCCTGACTCCCCCTGACTCCTCCTCCTGACTCCTCCTGACACCTCCTGACTCCTCCTGACTCCTATTGACTCCTATTGACTCCTATTGACTCCTCCTTCTCCGACTCCTCCTGACTCCTATGACCTGACTCCTCCTCTGACTCCTCCTGACTCCTCGCTATTGACTCCTATTGACTCCTCCTGACTCCTCCTGACTCCTCCTGACTCCTCCTGACTCCTCCTGACTCCTCCTGACTCCTCCTAGACTCCCCCTGACTCCCCTGACTCCCCCTGACTCCTCCTGACTCCTCCTGACTCCTCCTGACTCCCCCTGACTCCCCCTGACTCCCCCTGACTCCTCCTGACTCCTCCTGACTCCTCCTGACTCCCCCTCCCCTGACTCCTCCTGACTCCTGACTCCTCCTGACTCCTCCTGACTCCTGCAGCCGACACTGACAGAGCCAAGGTAACAATGGGACACACCACTGCTGTTTGATTATTCTCCCTCTGGTCTCTCTCTGGTCTCTCTCTACACTCACTCTAGTCTCTCTCTGGTCTCTCTTTCTCTGGTCTCTCTCTCTACACTCACTATAGCCTCTCTCTATGGTACAAACTAAATGTACTGTATGTTAGTAAGTAATATGTATTGTGTAAGTACAGTATAAATATGTTTTACAGGCCGTGACCTTGGTCTGTGAAATGTGCTATATAAATAAGTATTACTTACAAAGCCCTTAACCTCTCCACACTGGTCCATCAAAGCCTCCGACCAAACACCCTGCATTCAGTGTGTGTGTGTGTGTGTTGTGTACCTCTGCAGCTGGGATTCCTTCAGGAGGCCGACACTGCAGCAGCACTTCCTGTTCCAGAGAAACTTCTTTACCCAAAGGCTCCTGATCGAAGGTTTTCCTCAAGTCTGAAAAGAAGAGAACACAAAGTAATGAGACCAGGAAGAGAGACCAAAGAGAGACCAGGGAGAGACCAGAGAGAGACCAGGGAGAGACCAAAGAGAGACCAGGGAGAGACCAGAGAGAGACCAGGGAGAGACCAGAGAGAGAGACCAGACAGAGACCAGAGAGAGACCAGAGAAAGACCAAAGAGAGACCAGGGAGAGAGACCAAAGAGAAACCAAAGAGAGACCAGAGAGAGACCAGAACGAGAAACTAGAGAGAGACCAGAACAAGAGACTAGAGAGAGACCAGATCGAAAGACCAGAGAGAGACCAGATCGAAAGACCAGAGAGAGACCAGATTGAGAGACCAGAGAGAGACCAGATAGAGAGACCAGAGAGAGACCAGAGAGAGACCAGAGAGAGACCAGAGAGAGACCAGAGAGAGACCAGAGAGAGACCAGAGAGAGACCAGAGACGAGAGAGACCAGAGAGAGACCAGAGAGAGACCAGAGAGAGACCAGAGAGAGACCAGAGAGAGACCAGAGAGAGACCAGAGAGAGACCAGAGAGAGACCAGAGAGAGACCAGAGAGAGACCAGAGAGAGACCAGAGAGAGACCAGAGAGAGACCCAGAGAGAGACCAGAGAGAGACCAGAGAGAGAGACCAGAGAGAGACCAGAGAGAGACCAGAGAGAGACCAGAGAGAGACCAGAGAGAGACCAGAGAGAGACCAGAGAGAGACCAGAGAGAGACCAGAGAGAGAGACCAGAGAGAGACCAGAGGACCAGAGAGAGACCAGAGAGAGACCAGAGAGAGACCAGAGAGAGACCAGAGAGAGACCAGAGAGAGAGACCAGAGAGAGACCAGAGAGAGAGACCAGAGAGAGACCAGAGAGAGAGACCAGAGAGAGACCAGAGAGAGACCAGAAGAGAGACTAGAGAGAGACCAGAGAGAGACCAGATCGAGAGACCAGAGAGAGACCAGAACGAGAGACCAGTGAGAGACCAGATTGAAAGACCAGAGAGAGACCAGATTGAGAGACCAGAGAGAGACCAGATTGAGAGACCAGAGAGAGACCAGAGAGAGACCAGATCGAGAGACCAGAGAGAGACCAGATCGAGAGACCAGAGAGAGACCAGAACGAGAAACTAGAGAGAGACCAGAACGAGAAACTAGAGAGAGACCGGATCGAGAGACCAGAGAGAGACCAGATCGAGAGACCAGAGAGAGACCAGAACGAGAGACCAGCGAGAGACCAGATTGAAAGACCAGAGAGAGACCAAATCGAGAGACCAGAGAGAGACAAGCGAGACCAGAGCGAGACCAAAACAACATGTGCTCAGTGGCCATGGCTTAAATTGTACACACATAATAATCTGTATTTATTTCGATGCGTTCTGTCAATAATGTACCGAACTGACACCAGGTGACACTAGACCAGGGTCTCTCTCCCACACAGAGACCATCGGTGAAAACACTCGCAGTCATAAACGGTGAAGTCAGAGTCTGAGCTGAGAGAGTCCGGAGGGAAACACAGTCTAATGTATTTTAATAAACGCAGGAACAGTGTGAAGGAAGCAATTCCACAAACAGTCTGTCGGAAAGTAAATGGAAAGAACAGCTGCAGGGGCCACTGTTATGGACTTTGATACAAGCAAGGAAAGAGGAGCAGGGGAGGAGCAGGGGAGGAGCGGGGGAGGAGCGGGGGAGGATCAGGGGAGGAGCAGGGGAGGAGCAGGGGAGGAGCGGGGGAGGAGCGGGGGAGGAGCGGGGGAGGAGCAGGGGAGGATCAGGGGAGGAGCAGGGGAGGAGCAGGGGAGGAGCAGGGGAGGAGCAGGGGAGGAGCAGGGGAGGATCAGGGGAGGAGCGGGGGAGGAGCAGGGCCGGAGCAGGGGAGGAGCGGGGGAGGAGCGGGGCAGGAGCAGGGGAGGAGCGGGGGAGGAGCGGAGGAGGAGCGGGGCAGGAGCAGGGGAGGAGCGGGGGAGGAGCGGGGGAGGAGCGGGGCAGGAGCAGGGGAGGAGCGGGGGAGGAGCGGGGGAGGAGCAGGGGAGGAGCAGGGGAGGAGCGGGGGAGGAGCGGGGGAGGAGCAGGGGAGGATCAGGGGAGGAGCGGGGGAGGAGCAGGGCCGGAGCAGGGGAGGAGCGGGGGAGGAGCGGGGCAGGAGCAGGGGAGGAGCGGGGGAGGAGCGGAGGAGGAGCGGGGCAGGAGCAGGGGAGGAGCGGGGGAGGAGCGGGGGAGGAGCGGAGGAGGAGCGGGGCAGGAGCAGGGGAGGAGCGGGGGAGGAGCGGGGGAGGAGCAGGGGAGGAGCAGGGGAGGAGCGGGGGAGGAGCGGGGGAGGAGCAGGGGAGGAGCAGGGGAGGATCAGGGGAGGAGCAGGGGAGGAGCAGGGGAGGAGCGGGGGAGGAGCAGGGCCGGAGCAGGGGAGGAGCGGGGGAGGAGCGGGGGCAGGAGCAGGGGAGGAGCGGGGGAGGAGCGGAGGAGGAGCGGGGCAGGAGCAGGGGAGGAGCGGGGGAGGAGCGGGGGAGGAGCGGAGGAGGAGCGGGGCAGGAGCAGGGGAGGAGCGGGGGAGGAGCGGGGGAGGAGCAGGGGAGGAGCAGGGGAGGAGCGGGGGAGGAGCGGGGCAGGAGCAGGGGAGGAGCAGGGGAGGAGCAGGGGAGGAGCGGGGGAGGAGCAGGGGAGGAGCGGGGCAGGAGCAGGGGAGGAGCAGGGGAGGAGCGGGGGAGGAGCGGGGGAGGAGCGGGGCAGGAGCAGGGGGAGGAGCGGGGGAGGAGCGGGGCAGGAGCAGGGGAGGATCAGGGGAGGAGCAGGGGAGGAGCAGGGGAGGAGCGGGGGAGGAGCAGGGGAGGAGCAGGGGAGGAGCAGGTGAGGATCAGGGGAGGAGCGGGTGAGGAGCGGGGGAGGAGCAGGGGAGGAGCAGGGGAGGAGCAGGGGAGGAGCAGGGGAGGAGCGGGGCAGGAGCAGGGGAGGAGCGGGGGAGGAGCGGGGCAGGAGCAGGGGAGGATCAGGGAGGAGCAGGGGAGGAGCAGGGGAGGAGCGGGGGAGGAGCGGGGGAGGAGCGGGGGAGGAGCAGGGGAGGATCAGGGGAGGATCAGGGGAGGGGCAGGGGAGGAGCAGGGGAGGAGCAGGGGAGGAGCGGGGCAGGAGCAGGGGAGGAGCGGGGGAGGAGCGGGGCAGGAGCAGGGGAGGAGCGGGGGAGGAGCGGGGCAGGAGCAGGGGAGGATCAGGGGAGGAGCAGGGGAGGAGCGGGGGAGGAGCGGGGGAGGAGCAGGGGAGGAGCAGGTGAGGATCAGGGGAGGAGCGGGTGAGGAGCGGGGGAGGAGCAGGGGAGGAGCAGGGGAGGAGCGGGGCAGGAGCAGGGGAGGAGCGGGGGAGGAGCGGGGCAGGAGCAGGGGAGGATCAGGGGAGGAGCAGGGGAGGAGCAGGGGAGGAGCGGGGGAGGAGCGGGGGAGGAGCAGGGGAGGAGCAGGTGAGGATCAGGGGAGGAGCGGGGGAGGAGCAGGGGAGGAGCAGGGGAGGAGCAGGGGAGGAGCAGGGGAGGAGCGGGGGAGGAGCGGGGCAGGAGCAGGGGAGGAGCGGGGGAGGAGCGGGGCAGGAGCAGGGGAGGATCAGGGGAGGAGCAGGGGAGGAGCAGGGGAGGAGCGGGGGAGGAGCAGGGGAGGGGCAGGGGAGGAGCGGGGGAGGAGCAGGGGAGGAGCAGGGGAGGAGCAGGTGAGGAGCAGGGGAGGAGCGGGGCAGGAGCAGGGGAGGGGCAGGGGAGGAGCGGGGGAGGAGCAGGGGAGGAGCAGGGGAGGAGCAGGGCAGGAGCAGGGGAGGAGCGGGGGAGGAGCGGGGCAGGAGCAGGGGAGGATCAGGGGAGGAGCAGGGGAGGAGCAGGGGAGGAGCGGGGGAGGAGCAGGGGAGGGGCAGGGGAGGAGCAGGGGAGGGGCAGGGCAGGAGCAGGGGAGGAGCAGGGGAGGATCAGGGGAGGATCAGGGGAGGGGCAGGGGAGGAGCAGGGGAGGAGCAGGGGAGGGGCAGGGGAGGAGCAGGGGAGGAGCGGGGGAGGAGCGGGGGAGGAGCGGGGGAGGAGCAGGGGAGGAGCGGGGGAGGAGCAGGGGAGGAGCAGGGGAGGAGCAGGGGAGGAGCAGGGGAGGAGCAGGGGAGGAGCGGGGGAGGAGCGGGGCAGGAGCAGGGGAGGAGCGGGGGAGGAGCGGGGCAGGAGCAGGGGAGGATCAGGGGAGGAGCAGGGGAGGAGCAGGGGAGGAGCGGGGGAGGAGCAGGGGAGGGGCAGGGGAGGAGCGGGGGAGGAGCAGGGGAGGAGCAGGTGAGGAGCAGGGGAGGAGCGGGGCAGGAGCAGGGGAGGGGCAGGGGAGGAGCGGGGGAGGAGCAGGGGAGGAGCAGGGGAGGAGCAGGGCAGGAGCAGGGGAGGAGCGGGGGAGGAGCGGGGCAGGAGCAGGGGAGGATCAGGGGAGGAGCAGGGGAGGAGCAGGGGAGGAGCGGGGGAGGAGCAGGGGAGGGGCAGGGGAGGAGCAGGGGAGGAGCGGGGGAGGAGCAGGGGAGGATCAGGGGAGGATCAGGGGAGGGGCAGGGGAGGAGCAGGGGAGGAGCAGGGGAGGGGCAGGGGAGGAGCAGGGGAGGAGCGGGGGAGGAGCGGGGGAGGAGCGGGGGAGGAGCAGGGGAGGAGCGGGGGAGGAGCAGGGGAGGAGCAGGGGAGGAGCGGGGGAGGAGCAGGGGAGGAGCAGGGGAGGAGCAGGGGAGGAGCGGGGGAGGAGCAGGGGAGGGGCAGGGGAGGAGCAGGGGAGGAGCGGGGGAGGAGCAGGGGAGGAGCGGGGGAGGAGCAGGCGTCAAACACAGAAATGGCATTATTTTTCTCCCTTTTCTCTGATTCATTGCTGTGTTGTTGGTTTGTTGTAGTGAGAGAAACTTAATGTAGAGAAAGGACTGATTCAACTGGATTGAGATATGAAAGGAGGGAGAGAGAGAGAGAGAGAGAGAGAGATAACAGAGATAACTGAGAGAGAGACCAGGGAGACAAGAGAGAGACCAGGGAGAGGGGAGAGAGAGGAGAGAGAGAGAGCAGAGATGAATGAGAGAGAGAACCAAGAGAATCCAGAGAGACTGGGAAGAGACAATAGGGAGACCACAGACACACCAGAGAGAGTTATCAGAGAGAGAGAGACCAGACCTTTTTGGTATAGAAAATATGAGAGAGTACGGCAACAAATATAAATAGCAGCCATGAGAGAGAGACCATGTGGAGGTGGGTCGGGCTTAAAATGGACTGAGAGAGACAAGAGAGAGACCAGGGAGAGGCAAGAGAGAGACCATGCGGGGTTGGGCCGGGCTGAGAGAGAGTACAGTCATGGTGTGACAGGTGAGAGGACCAGGAACGGCAGCTACCGACCCCCGACACCAACGCTTTAGTGATTTATGAATCAGGCATGAGCCGATAAATGTGATTCTCTTTCACTGTGAGGTGGAGAAGGAGAGAAACCCACGCTCTGGAGGGGAGAGTAGACACCTGGACCTGCTCTGGACCCATTCTTTCAACATAGATTTGTCTAAGAGGTTTGATTTTTTTTTTTAAAGGTGAAGGTCAAATGATTGGCTGTTGGAATATACATCAGACAGAGACCAGAGAGAAACAAGACCAGAGAGAGACCAGAGAGAGAGACCAGAGAGAAACAAGACCAGAGAGAGACCAGAGAGAGAGACCAGAGAGAAACAAGACCAGAGAGAGACCAGAGAGAGAGACCAGAGAGAAACAAGACCAGAGAGAGACCAGAGAGAGAGACCAGAGAGAAACAAGACCAGAGAGAGACCAGAGAGAGAGACCAGAGAGAAACAAGACCAGAGAGAGAGACCAGAGAGAGACCAGAGAGAAACAAGACCAGAGAGAGAGACCAGAGAGAAACAAGACCAGAGAGAGAGACCAGAGAGAGACCAGAGAGAAACAAGACCAGAGAGAGACCAGAGAGAAACAAGACCAGAGAGAGACCAGAGAGAGAGACCAGAGAGAGAGACCAGAGAGAGAGACCAGAGAGAGAGACCAGAGAGAGAGACCAGAGAGAGAGACCAGAGAGAGAGACCAGAGATAGAGACCAGAGAGAGAGACCAGAGAGACACCAGAGAGAGAGACCAGAGAGAGACCAGAGAGAACCAAGACCAGAGAGAGAGACCAAAGAGAGACCAGAGAGAGACCAGAGAGAGAGACCAGAGAAGAGACCAGAGAGAGAGACCAGAGAGACCAGAGAGAGACCAGAGAGAGAGACCAGAGAGAGAGACCAGAGAGAGACCAGAGAGAGAGACCAGAGAGAGACCAGAGAGAGAGACCAGAGAGAGACCAGAGAGAGACCAGAGAGAGACCAGAGAGAGACCGGAGAGAGACCAGAGTGAGACCAGAGAGAAACCAGACAGAGACCAGAGAGAGACCAGAGAGAAACAAGAGAGAGACCAGAGACAATCACAGCAGAATATAAAATCTTCTAAAACTCTTATTTGGACCCAGTTGAGACCGAACAAACCGGATCTCGCTGAAACGTCTGTCTTTAAAGGTGATCCTAAACCTGAACTAAAACCATCAGGTTCCGTCGTCATGTCACTAATTCCACAGATGTCACTGGTCATTTGCGTCGCTGCACATGGTGCGGTCCAGTCCAGGTCCGGTCTTGGCCAAGTCCAGTCCAGGTCCGGTCCTGGTCTGAGGTGATTATTTCCCCGGCTCACAGTCACCGGGCGTGGGTATAATTTGTCTGTTTTTGGGGTGGCTCCGGTGCCTCCCTGGTCATAAACCTGAACGATGCGGGTTGGAGAGGCAGAGTCCACATTCCTGTGGACACACACCGGGACACACACACAGAGAGACACACACACACTGGGACACACACACACACACAGAGAGACACACACACACCGGGACACACACACACACACACACAGACATACACACACACACAGAGAGACACACACACAGAGAGACACACACACCGGGACACACACACACAGAGAGACACCCACACACACACACCGGGACACACACACACACACATATAGAGGCACACACACAGAGAGACACACACACACACAGACACACACACACACACTCACACACACACACACACACACAAACACACAGACACACACACACACAGACACACACATACACACACAGACACACACACACATACACACACAGACACACACAGACACACACACATACACACACAGACACACACACATACACACACAGACACACACACAGGCACACACACACACACACACACACACACACACACACACACAGAGAGACACACACACAGACACACAGACACAGACACACAGTACACACACATACACACACAGACACACACACACAACACACACACACACACACACACATACACGTTTTTGTTACCTGGTGGGTCCCTTTGACAGGGCCGTTCAGAATGGGACCCATAGACATAATCTTTTTTTACCAAGACTTTAAGTAATACAAAACAGTCAATAGAAACCAAACAACTATTTTAAAGGAATTTTATTTTAGATTTTGTTTTCGAATTGCAGTGATTCTATTTTTGACATAGAATTTAATGCCACTCCATGTCCGATGTCTAAGGTCATCTGGTGAGGCATTAATGCAGGCCAGGCAGTGAGACTTCCCAGGGACCTTTCCAGTCTGTATGAAAGGTGTCATGGTCTTCTCCACAGCCTTCACCTCAGATGCAGACCATGGCTTTCTTACACGTTCTAGGGAGAGAAATAAAAATATATTAGCAATATACACTCCCAGGGTGAGGACCAAGCAGCCTGGCTGTAATCCCCCACCTGGTACACTTACCAGAAGGGGCACTGCCACTACCATGGGGTGCATCTGGATGAATGGTTGAAGGTTCTCCGCTTGAAGTTTCTTTTAGCCCGTCCGTTTGTGAGAGGATCTCTACTGCTCTCCCTGTCGCACAGAAAATAAAAATACAAGTGGCCTTTAGGGGAAAAAAATCATACATATTTTAATAATATCAAGAATTACCTTCAGGCTCAATTTGTATCTGGTCGAGGCTCTTTCCTTCGAATTCCGTCACTCTTCCCTGCTCCATGGCCATCAACACTTTGCTGATTTTGGCCAGCTCCAGTGTCCCCTCTGGTAGTCTGTAATATTGCCTGTGGATGCGAATGTCATGGCCGAGGAAGTTGGCAAGTATGTCCATCTCATTCTCTTTCATATTGAGAACTGTAGACATAGTAGCTATGTGCTTTCTAAGTTTGGTTGAGGATAGCATCTCTGGATGCACCGCACCACATTCTTTGGCTACCTGGCGTAGGGAGTCTGATCCCCTGATGTGGGTGTCTGCGCCCGGGCGGGAAAAGAAGTATGGGTTATGGTCAGAGATGGAACAGGCCCTTCTGTTCTCCACCAGCACCTCCATCGAAGCAATCATTTCAGGAGTCAAAAGAACCGGCACTTTCCGACTTCTTTTCCCTTTAATTTCAATGCGTTGAAAATGCTGACACAGCTTTTTCTCAAGTTGGGACAGTCCCAGAGCAATGTCAGAATGGATCCCAGTCTTACTTCTTAAGGTAAAGGCTGTCAGTGGCATCTTTGAAACCTCACCTTCCCTTCTTCGATTGAAAATGATGACCTCACAAAGAGTCAAAACTGCCAGTTTAGACCAATGCTTAGACGTTGGCTCACTTATTAGGGTTTGCACATATTCAGGTCGACATACCTCAATATGTGCATGCATGGCTCTAACGTCCTCAGTCAGAGGGAGCAGGTCCGGAGTGTTCCACTTGGCTTGCCGGAGGGTCTGTAGGGCAGCAGAAGAAACACAGACGTCCCACCTCTTCTCAAAAAGCAGCCGGCTTCGTTGGAGGTTTTTAATAAATAGTTCATCAACACAATGCTCCATTTTTGAGTCACATTCAAGAATATCTGCTAGCTTTCTGAGGCTATGGCCGAGTTTGAGGGCCAAGGATGGAGTCTTGTATTGATTTGTTTCCTCATCATATCCAGCCACAGACCTGACTGCATCAATCACATGGTTAAAGTTGGAAGGAATAAAGAAATCCTTAATTGTTTTCAGTTTCCCTGCGGTTTTTGCTTCGTTAATTAACCTACCGACTTCTCTCATTTTCTGCCTAATGTAATCATGCTTTGTCTTATCATGCCCGTGTTTTAAGTACAGGTGCTCTCCGAGTCTCAGAATCCCCTTTTCTGCTTTGACAACACCCGTGACCTCATCCTGATGCATTGCCGAAATTAAAGACCACAGCTTTTTGCTGATGCCCTCCGGTACAGGCTGGGCTAGGGAGCAGAGGGACTGGACCCTACTTCTACCTGGTTTAGCCTGGGCATCTTTCTGTGAAAGCCGGCACCTGGCCACATGCCTCCACAGCGACTTTCGCTTAAGCAATGCCCCACAGTCTATACAGTGCAAAAACTCACTGGATTTAACTGGGCAATTTGGCTGTTTAGCTGGGACTAAAGTTCCAATGCCGGCCTTTAAAACCTCAAAATTGTGCTCACGGTTTCCACTATTCCTGATCAAATCAAACTGAAGTTTACGTGCTTTAGATTTCACAGGTAGAGCCAATGCTCTGGCTACGTCACTTTCATTTCCATGTTTTCTAGTCAAATGACGGGACATTTTGTGGCAGGACATTGAACAGTAGAGGCAGAAGTGTCTCTTGCTGTATACTCGCCCCCCATTTTTCTTCTTTTGCAGCTGCATGATAACAATCTTATTTGCCTTTGGTTCGTCACTTTCCGAGTCTTGAAGAAAAGTGTTTTTGATTTTTCTTTTTCCATACTTTTTTACAGGTTTCTTCTTGACAGTTAAATCGTCAGAATCTGAGTCGACTTCATCAATTAGGGACTCTTGACTAAGCTGCACAAACAACAAATAATTTGTAATCATTCTATATAACAATTTGAAGTCATGACTTGTAGTCAGCACTTACCAGTGGTTTGTAAGCGTGCGCTTCAGTGTGCTCCTCCATGATTTCTTGCAGCCTAATGAACCACACACTTGCACCTTTTTCTAGCCTGACACCTGATTTCCTCTGTTGTGCTGCTCCATGATTGGCTCCAGCCTGCTGGACTGAAATTGCCCCAGTGTGCCCCTCCTTGATATCCCGCAACCCACCACCAGGGTTCCGACACATAACACACTTTTTTCAGGAAAGTAAACCTCCAGGGGTCCTTTCCATATTTTTACAGAGACTGCATAAGGACCGTTAGAAAAGCATTACCCATTGATTATTAAGCTTGGACCAGTGGGGTCCGGTGTTCGGGCCCCACCACGTAAAACCAGTCCCCATGACGTGAGTGGAATCTCAGGTTATGGAACCCACCAGGAGTTGAAAACAAGTGCACACACACGCACTCACACTCACACACACACACACACACAAACATACACACACACTCACACACACACACACACAAACACAAACATACACACACACTCACACACACACACACACACACACATACACACACACTCACACACACATTCACACTCACACACACACTCACACTCACATTCACACTCACACACACTCACACTCACACACACACACACTCACACTCACATTCACACTCACACTCACACACACACTCACACTCACATTCACACTCACATTCACACTCACACACACACTCACACACACACACACACACACACACACACACACTCACACACACTCACACTCACACACACTCACACACACACACACTCACACACACACTCACACTCACACACACACACACACACACACACACACACACACACACACACACACACACACACACACACACACACACACACACACACACTCACACTTCGGGCCAGAACCTGTTGTTGCTCGAGTTCCAGTTGTTTTATGAGTTTTTAAGCTGCGTGGATAAACGCAAGCATTTACTATATGTTCACTGGGAATGTGTGTGTGTGTGTTAGATGTGTGTGTGTGTGTGTGTGTGTGTATGTTTGTGTGTGTGTGCAAGAGGGAATTGGGGATAAAGCTAGACAAACAGAGAGACAGACCGTCCTCAGGGGCCAGGCTTCAGTCCTTAAAATTCAACTTCGGTCAAGGTTCAGACCCAGGGTCTTGGGGGGGGGGTGAGGTTCAGGGCCCCTGGATTTTAACTGGGATCATGGACTGTCTGTGTCAACAGGCAGAGCCCCCCTGAGTCAACACACGCCTTTAGGGGAATACTATAGTGCTCCGAGCCCAGAGTTATGGAGAAGGCAGAATAAATCAATTCAAACTGACACAAGATGATTATTCATTCATCCATGGACTCTAAGGAGCACAGGGACTGACCTCCTGCTGGGACTCAGAGGAGCACAGGGACTGGCCTCCTGCTGGGACTCAGAGGAGCACAGGGACTGACCTCCTGCTGGGACTCAGAGGAGCACAGGGACTGACCTCCTGCTGGGACTCTGAGGAGCACAGGGACTGACCTCCTGCTGAGACTCAGAGGAGCACAGGGACTGACCTCCTGCTGGGACTCAGAGGAGCACAGGGACTGTTTCACTTCAACTAAAGGATTTTGTTTTCAGTCCTTTAAACGCACTATGATTATTTATATTCTTGTCTGCTTTCTTCTCTCTGTGCTATACAATTAACCTGCAATCCTGCCGGACCATGTGCAGACCCGATATCCAATCCCATACTTTTTCGAGGGTGAGTCCAGGCATTTGACTCCAGCATAATTGGTATTTGAGCATTCCTAATTTGTGAAACACTATATATATACTTTTTCTGCCTTTTGTCTATTTTCCTAATTATTCACACTTTAGCAGTTAGCATAAAATTACCGCCGCGCTCTCTGTGTAAACACCACTGCTCTTTGATGGTTGCATTCCTGGGGAGTCCTCCATCTCTATCCTCTTGCACAGAAACACGATCTGGCTTCGTTTTGTCCCGGTTCAGGAGGAGTTGGTCTCTGTCCCGGTGAAGTCTCTGTCCCTGTGATCTGTCGGGACGTCCCAGTGTCAGTGCGCATTAGGCCAGCTGTCTGGAGGCCCTTCCCCCGGTCGCTGTGGCTCTGTGTGAATCGATGCAGCATGTTGGATGAACGCTCTGCGGCCTTTTTGATGCACACTGGAGCCAGAGCATAGAGCAGAGACCTGGCCCAAATAACGTTACTTTGTGGTCTCTGAGTGGGTCCTCACTGATGCAGGAGGATCTCAGGATATTTATGAACATTTCTGGACAGTGGTCATTGCTCCTGTGTTTGAACTGTTTGATTCTCTGAACTGCTGTTGGTGAATCCACAACTGTGTAAAGTCCTCCGAGATAACTGTTGTTGTGATTTAGGGTGATACACCACTACATTTAATTGAATGTAAGTCAATAGGGGCCAGAACAAGTTGGAGCAAAACTTCCCCCATGAGTACTTCCCTATTGTGCTTCATTGAGCTAGTGTGTTAGCATTGTCCATCTGTATACAGTCTATGTTAGCATTGTCCATCTGTATTGGCAAATGCTAATATGCTAATAATGCTATAAGTCTCCATTCCTCCGCTTTATGTCACTTACATTCTGTAACGTCTTTGTTTATGCTGCCTCTACCATCGACAATAAAACATGTCTTCTGTCTGAATTAAAGACACCATCCTAGACTGTCATTTTCTTCACTTTAGATTCTAATCCACAGCTAGTGTTAAAATCAAGCTTTTGCACTGCTAAACAAATGAAGGTTTGGAAAAACATGGATGCTGCAACTTTTCCGTCTGTTTGTGGGTTAAGGAGCTCAGAGTTGAGGTCCTGAAGGACGAATCCTGTATCGTACAGAGCCGTGTAAGTAACGATTGGTATGAACTTATCATTGTCAGCAAAACAATGTGTCTGTGGCTGTGTTCTTTTCAGGTCAAACATTATCTAAAACGCCAACTCATGCCTGACAATGAATGAAATAAAAATGGGGATGTAATAACTGCGCATTGTGACTGCATGGCTGGGTAAATAAATAATCCTTCAAGGTAAAAGCGTTTGCTAGTGAAATGTTAGCGAGTCACTTTTCCTGCGTCTTTTTGTAAAGTCCTTAGTGCGAGGATCATTATTAATCTCTTCACGAGGAATCCTAAAGTATCCATTGAAGGTTTCGCGACTCGATCGGTTAGAAAACTTAAAACAACACATGCAAAAGGCAGATTCAGACACACTGCTCTAGTGAACAACTAGCTCGGCTGACCACCACTCCGTGATACGCATATGCAATGAGGCGGACGTGACGTCAATTGCAAGCAAGCAATAGTCTGTGTTAGCATTAGCATCTGTATACAGTCTATGTTAGCATTAGCATCTGTATACAGTCTGTGTTAGCATTAGCATCTGTATACAGTCTGTGTTAGCATTAGCATCTGTATACAGTCTGTGTTAGCATTAGCATCTGTATACAGTCTATGTTAGCGTTGTCCATCTGTATACAGCAGGGGTCTCCAACCTTTTGTGCTCTGTGAGCTACTTTAATTTAAAAAATCAGGCGTGAGCTACTTATGCTCGGAAATATTTATTTTTCCGTTATGGTTTAGAGAAAATGCACAAAGTGAGAAACATGCGATATTATTATCAAAATAACGAACACTTGATATTGCCACAATTAAAACAAAGTGTGTACATGTAAACTTCACTCTAACAAAAAGCTCAAGCTGAAACATACTCAGTGGGATGGCTGACACTGCATGGCCTCAACAAGACTGGAGTATTGTGGAGTATAGCTACTCAAATTCACCCTGATGGAATCGTTCAGGTGTTGATCAGTCAATCTCGTCCTGTACTTTGATTTGATTGCATTCATGTCCGAAAAAGCTGACTCGCAAAGATAAGTGGACCCAAACAGAGCAGACACTTTCAAAGCAACCTCATTAAGGTTCTTAAAGTCATTTGGATCCACAAGGCTCCAAAAATGTCCTGAACTCTGCTGAGACTTGAGCTGCACATTGTTTTGTAGGTTAATCACCTCCATTTCCATTTCTACAGGATCAATACCAAAAAGTACTGCCATCTGACCAGAAATGTCACTTATGTCCACATCCATGAAGGGGTTTGCCATAAATGTCACACAAGGCTGAAGTTTGTCAAAGTCAACAAATCTGTCAACAAACTCCTGTCCAAGTTTTGCCAAAAGCTCACAATATTTGTCCACATTCAAAGCACTGGCTGCCCCTGGATTATTTTCACACATGTTTGAGAGAGAAGAAAAGTGCTGTAACTTTTTGTTTTTCACCTGCTGGATGTACAACGAGAGCTTAGCGCTGAATGCTCTCACAGCACTGATCATGTCTGACACATGTTTATCTCTGCCTTGTAACTGTGTGTTCAGTTGGTTAATTTTATCTGTTACATCAGTCAGAAATGCAAGATCAAGAAGCCACTCCGTATTATTTAACAACGTAATATCTTCCCCCCTTGCCGCCACAAAAGTCTTGATTTCATCCAGCAAAGAAATAAAGCGTTGCAATATCTTACCGCGACTTAACCACCTGATGTCCGTATGAAGGAGAAGATCCCCGTGATCCGCGGCGCATTCCTCCAGGAACAATTTGAAGCTCCGATGTTGCTTTGCCTTTGGTCGAATGGAGTTGATTATCTTGACAACAGGTCCCATAACATGGTCAAAATCCAGAACCTTTGCACATATGGCTTGTTGATGTATAATACAGTGGTAGTTCAAAAACTTGGGAAAGTCCGGGTCCGCTTTGCAATGCGCAATAAATCCGTTGTGGCGGCCAGTCATAGCAGGGGCTCCATCACTCGTTATGGACACCAGCTTTCTAATAGGGAACTTTTTATCCACCACATATCCTTTTACGACGTTGTAGATGTCTATTCCCCTGGTGGAGGTTTTTAGTGGAAGCAAGGTCAAAAACTCCTCTTTGGTGGAGAAGTCCTCAAACACCATACGCACGAAAAGAGCCAGCTGCGCGGTGTCACTCGCGTCCACCGACTCGTCACACTGAAGGGAAAACCATTGACTTCTCTCAATGTCCATATCCAGTGTTTTGTGGCATCCTGTGACAGCGCAGTAACTCTCCGGGCCACTGTATTTGCCCCAAGTTGCACATCAGAAATAGCGGAAAGAATCTCTGTCTTACTTTTGTGATCATCAAATAAAGTTTCAGCCACCGCAGTCATAGCATCCTTCACAATGGCTCCATCCGTAAAGGGCTTTTTGTGTTTTGCTAGTAAGTGTGCCACTTTGAATGACGCCTCCGTGGCCGCACAACTCTTTTTTGTTGTCTTGGTGAATAAAGATTGCTGTCTCTGAAGCGCTGATTTGAGCTCCTTCACCTTTTCTTTTCGTAGGTTGCTCCCCGTGGGAAACTCGTGTGAAAAGTTACCGTGGACTGAGACGAAATGGCGCTGAACGTTGCATCGTTTACCAACAGCCACACTGAACCCACAGATCAGACAAACGCATTTATCGTTGACATTTGTGAATAAAAAGTCCGTTTCCCACTCCTCGTGAAAAGCGTACGTTTTCCTCCTCTTAGCAGAGCTCATGGTGCCGCATCAACGCTGTCAAGGCCCGTGCACGAAACAAACGCTGGGTATCAGTTTGACTGAAACGCGCGATCCTTTGATTGACAGCTTACAGACAAATAATATGTTATTTATGTAAATGAGGCGGGACACACCAACGGATATGATAATATGATAGGCCAAATCAACGAAAAATGCGAATGTTTTTTTTATTTTTTCTCTCATGCTAAATTTAGGAAAATAATGGATAACCTTGCGCGAGCTACCCAAAATGGGGCCGCGAGCTACCGGTAGCTCGCGAGCTATAGGTTGGAGACCCCTGGTATACAGTCTGTGTTAGCATTGTCCATCTGTATACTGTCTGTGTTAGCGTTGTCCATCTGTATACAGTCTGTGTTAGCATTGTCCATCTGTATACTGTCTGTGTTAGCATTAGCATCTGTATACAGTCTGTGTTAGCATTGTCCATCTGTATACAGTCTGTGTTAGCATTGTCCATCTGTAAACAGTCAGACCTGAGAAGAGAGTCAGCAGGAGTAAAGGCTTTGATCACACACTGTCAGGCTGAGCTCAGGGTGAGGGGGTAAGTGGAAGTGTATGCAGAACAATTTGGCCCGAGACGGACATCTGTTTGAAAAGTTTAACAGCCGAACGAGGTCAGCTGTCAATCACAGAGACCGACATCTGCCCCTCCCCCCGGGCCACCTCTCAGACCTCTCAGAATCAATCCATCTTTATTTTGCAGAGTTTTCAGAATTTATCCAAACACGGAAAATGTGGACACTCACACACACACGTCTGGTCTTACCATGTGTAAACTCTGGTCCATGGTCATTTCCTACATGTACGTCTGGTCTTACCATGTGTAAACTCTGGTCCATGGTCATTTCCTACATGTACGTCTGGTCTTACCATGTGTAAACTCTGGTCCATGGTCATTTCCTACATGTACGTCTGGGTCTGATCCTAGTGGCTGCAGTTTCCTCGATTGAATCTCCTCCGACCAATCAGAGAGCGGGGGAGGCGGGTGTTGCAGGTCGGTGTCAGTGATGTCCAGAGTTTGTGCTGAATTTGCTGCTTGTAGTTTGTCGGAGAATGCGATAGTAAAATAATCTGTTCTGGTTCAATCCAAATATCAAGAAATTGAAGCCGGAGCAACAGGAATGTTTAGTAAATGTCATTGAAGCAAAGATGTTGTGGCTCTACTCCCCACGGGCTCCGTTAGCTGCATAGGAGATGGCTAAAGCTAGGCTACATGCTAAAGCTAGGGTAAATGCTAAAGCTAGGCTAAATGCTAAAGGCCTCACTCACTTGGGCACATTCCATACGTCACGGTAAACTCGGATCCAATCGTTTCAATCTGCAAAAGAGTTACCAGTGCTGGTGATGGACCTTGTTTACTGTGACAGTCTGATATCTGTGTGACTCTGCCCTGATCCTGGTCCGGTCTGGTCCTGGTCCGGTCTCAGGAAGCTCCCATCGTTTGCATTCCTCTCATACACAAACACAGATCCTGAGTCATGTCCGCCCTGGGGCAACACACAGTAATGCCGCACACATGGTACACTCTATAGCACCTTTAATCCTCTCTGCAGAGAACACATATTGTCCGTGAAATCTGAATGTACTGTTGTTATTATTGTTCATAACCTCAGACTCCAGCGGCTTCGGAGAAATGAATTATTAAAGCTTTGCCGCAGGAAGTTTCCGACTCATTGATGAATAAATCTGTGGTTTAGAGAACTTTAAACCAAGGAACATCTGTGACATGTTAGAGCCATAACTCTGAGGAGCACAGGGACTGGCCTCCTGCTGGGACTCTGAGGAGCACAGGGACTGGCCTCCTGCTGGGACTCTGAGGAGCACAGGGACTGGCCTCCTGCTGCTGCGGTGGAAGCACAGGGCTTATCTCTGACGGTGACATCATCAGGGTCCAGTTACAGGCTGTGGCTGTGACTCCCATGGGTGCCTCATGAATAATCAAAGTGAGTTTAAAAGAGTAAAGTTAAGGTTGTTGCAGCAAAAGAAGAACTGAAATTGAAAATTATAAGAGAGGAAGACATTTTCAGGAATAATGTTCCAGATTTTAGCTGTACAAATCTGCAGGAGGCCAGTAAGTAGTAAGTAAGTGAGTAATGTTTCTTTATATAACACATTTTATAGACCAAGGTCAGACCCAAAGCACTTTACAATGTTCAGAGTCAGATATTGTTCCAATCCTTCCACACACGGTGATGACAGAAGCGAGTCCAGAACACACTGGACCATCAGCTCCAACACCATCCATTCACTCTCTCATTTACATTCAGACCTATTGTACATGTTTTTAAGTGGTAGGGGAAACCGGAGCACCCGGAGGAACCCTACGCAGACACAGGGAGAACATGCAAACTCCACTCAGAAAGGCCCTGTTCCGACCGGGATTCGTACCCAGGACCTTCTTGCTGAGAAGCGAGAGTGCTAACCACTCAGCCACCGGGCTGTCCCTGTGCTCCTCAGAGTATGAGTTCATAAGGCACTAAAATCCTACGAAAAAGACAACTTTACAGTAATGTGGATTTACTTACAGCATATCAGAGAATCAGAGGAGCCATTGGTCCACAGGGAGAGGGACTGAGGCTGTAGACCCAGGACTGAGGCTGCAGACCCAGAACTGAGGCTGTAGACCCAGGACTGAGGCTGTAGACCCAGGACTGAGGCTGTAGACCCAGGATTCAAACTATAAAAATTACATTAACAAAATAAAAACTTCTGTCTTAATCTTCATTGAAAAGTGACACTGTTTCGTCTCTGCTGCTTTGCTCCTTATTCATGTCGGCTGAAGTGTCACTCATCCCAGGCCCCGCCCCCTTCACTGTGACGTGTCCCGTGATTGGTCCGTGCCAGTTTTCCCCTTCTGCTCTGTTTCAATTTTCCAGTCGGTCTGGGCACTCAGCTCCCGATGATAGGCGCAGGATCAGCCCAGGACACACCAACTAAACAAACACATGAATAACGTCTCGCTAACACGCGGGTTAGCTAGCAGCGGGTCAAATGCAGTCACCTATTTGACTCATGGCTAAAGTACGGAGACAAGAGAAAGACCAGGCTGTAGAGGTTGATCAGGGAGAGGCATCTATGCAGAGAAAGAGTGACTTTTGTTGAAGAAATTAGGTTTTAATTGTGTACTGGGAGAGAGAGCACATCACCCCTGTGCTGGCCTCACTTCACTGACTCACAGGTACAAAGAGAGCACATCGCCCCCTGCTGGCCTCACTTCACTGGCTCACAGGGACAGAGAGAGCTCATCGCCCCTGTGCTGGCCTCATTTCACTGGCTCACAGGTACAAAGAGAGCACATCACCCCTGTGCTGGCCTCACTTCACTGGCTCACAGGTACAAAGAGAGCACATCGCCCCTGTGCTGGCCTCACTTCACTGACTCACAGGTACAAAGAGAGCACATCGCCCCCTGCTGGCCTCACTTCACTGGCTCACAGGGACAGAGAGAGCTCATCGCCCCTGTGCTGGCCTCATTTCACTGGCTCACAGGTACAAAGATAGCACATCACCCCTGTGCTGGCCTCACTTCACTGGCTCACAGGTACAAAGAGAGCACATCGCCCCTGTGCTGGCCTCATTTCACTGGCTCACAGGTACAAAGAGAGCACATCGCCCCTGTGCTGGCCTCCCTTCACTGGCTCACAGGTACAAAGAGAGCACATCGCCCCTGTGCTGGCCTCACTTCACTGGCTCACAGGTACAAAGAGAGCACATCGCCCCTGTGCTGGCCTCACTTCACTGGCTCACAGGTACAAAGAGAGCACATCGCCCCTGTGCTGGCCTCACTTCACTGGCTCACAGGTACAAAGAGAGCACATCGCCCCTGTGCTGGCCTCCCTTCACTGGCTCACAGGTACAAAGAGAGCACATCGCCCCTGTGCTGGCCTCACTTCACTGGCTCACAGGTACAAAGAGAGCACATCGCCCCTGTGCTGGCCTCACTTCACTGGCTCACAGGTACAAAGAGAGCACATCGCCCCTGTGCTGGCCTCATTTCACTGGCTCACAGGTACAAAGAGAGCACATCGCCCTTGTGCTGGCCTCTCTTCACTGGCTCACAGGTACAAAGAGAGCACATCGCCCCTGTGCTGGCCTCACTTCACTGGCTCACAGGTACAAAGAGAGCACATCACCCCTGTGCTGGCCTCACTTCACTGGCTCACAGGTACAAAGAGAGCACATCGCCCCTGTGCTGGCCTCACTTCACTGGCTCACAGGTACAAAGAGAGCACATCGCCCCTGTGCTGGCCTCACTTCACTGGCTCACAGGTACAAAGAGAGCACATCGCCCCTGTGCTGGCCTCACTTCACTGGCTCACAGGTACAAAGAGAGCACATCGCCCCTGTGCTGGCCTCATTTCACTGGCTCACAGGTACAAAGAGAGCACATCGCCCCTGTGCTGGCCTCACTTCACTGGCTCACAGGTACAAAGAGAGCACATCGCCCCTGTGCTGGCCTCACTTCACTGGCTCACAGGTACAAAGAGAGCACATCGCCCCTGTGCTGGCCTCACTTCACTGGCTCACAGGTACAAAGAGAGCACATCGCCCCTGTGCTGGCCTCACTTCACTGGCTCACAGTTAGATTGATTTTAAGATTGTGATGCTTGTTTTTAAATGTGTAAATGGTTTGGCCCCTGTAAATTTGTCGGAGCTGTGATCTCTGTCTGCTCCTGTCAGATCAGAGAGGTCCGAAAACCAGCTGTTGTTGAACGTTCCCCGGTCTCGTCTCAAAACTTGTGGAGACCAGACCAGACCAGACCAGACCAGACCAGACCAGACCGAGCCAAAGGATGAAGAAAAGAATTTTTTTTATTGTGCATTGTATCGTATTTAGATTTTACAACTGATTGTGAATGAATACATTTTGAGTCATTTCATATCTGGTATAAGTTAACAGTGTGTTCCCCATGTCCATCCATTTTCTTCCCCTTAATCCATTTCTGGGTCGAGGGGGGGTGGCAGTCAGAGCTGTACCCA